AATTGTAAGGAATACTGGTGGTTTACATAATCTGCTCCTTTTTCTCCTTTTATTATTTATTCTCTTTCTCCCGTTTTCCTTATTTGTTGCTGTATATATATATATATATATATATATTTATATTTTGTTGTATCTGTTTTTCTGTTTTTCTTCTTAATATTATAAGCCTTTTTAATATACATCGTTTTTTTAGGCTAACTCATTACTAATCATATACTATTAATCTCTACAATATTTATATGTATAAAAGAACAAGACTAAAATTAAATAAAAAACAAAATATGTATTGCCCATTGAGGCATCTCAGGTACCAAACCATTATATATAAGCTTCTATGAGAGCCATGCAGGCCAGGTAGAATAAAATAAGTTTTTCAAATATTGTAATAGGTCATGTACGTTTATACCTATATATCATTTACCTTGTAAATCTATGTACCAATAATTTCAAAATAAACGTTTTTCATAAATAAAAAAAAAAAGTGGTCAGTATCCCCGCCTGTCACGCGGGAGACCGGGGTTCGATTCCCCGTCGGAGAGATTTATTTTTTCATTTAAAAAAATATTTTATCAATAAAAATAAAACAAAACTTTTTTCGAAAAAAATTTTTTTTTATCCTCCGGGCGGAAAGTGGCACTTTTGTCCCGCTGCGCTAAACAAAGTTGCCGCTTTCCGCCTTCTTTGGACAAAAAATAAGTATACAGCCCTTGGAAAGTACTAAAAAAGTGTGTGTGTACTTATGTACGCACGTAAAAAGTTATACTCCTCTGACGTAACAAGATAAAAATCTTTCTAAAAATTTTATCTTTCGCGTTATCCTACGTTTGTAGAAAAAACGACTCTAATAATAAAAAAAAGGTATTCAATACATTGAAAGTTTTATTATAACGCATTATATAGTTAAATACAGTTTATTTAACCCTTTATTTGTCACCTTTTTTTTCGGGGCTTTGTTAACGCTGTTGTAGGCTTCTCTTCTTTTGGCAATGGCCTTCCGGTGAAGCGACTCATCTGTAAGCCACAAGTACTTTTTATTGAGGATGTGGAAATCGAGGAAATCTCGATTCGATATAGTTGTGTTATAGACTGTGGCTTGGTTGCCATTTATTTTTCTGATGGCTTGATGTCTTCTGGTATAATATAACACTGGGATATTGTTGGGACTTTGGATCAGACCTTTGCTGTCAAAGTGTATAAATGCCTGCGGTGGCAAGCAAGATGAGTTATTATTTCTGATCTCCATCTCATTTTCGTTTACTCTGTTTAGTTCTTTGATTATTTCATTTTCTATCTGAGGTAGTTTCGCGAAGTAGTCTGCACAATTTTATGATAAATTATCGATTTCAGGTATGTCTGCCAGGTCTTAGATGATTTTGTTACTTATTTGTTTTTTATAGTTGGACTCTTTTGAGCGATAAATTTGCAGACAAGCTTTGATACACTTGCGCTTAAATATTCTTATTTTTTCCATTGTACTTGCACTCTGGTTTCTCAAAGTGGGGCTGCATACATTGTTATTGGGCGAATCAGAAGTTGATAGCAGATAATCTTCGCTTTCCTACTAAGATGTTTGCACTAGAATAAACGTTTGTTAGCGTTAAAGGCCGCCTTTGCTTTCTTTAGCTGTATTTCAACATGCTGGTGTAATTTAAGGAAATGATCGATGTGCTCTCCCAAGTATTTAACCGTTTTCTTGTGAGAAATTGTCAGTGATAATTTGTCACCGTTTGGCCAGTTCCAGGTATTTTCGCTTTGATTTCAAACTCGTTGAGGCCTGTCTTACTAGCTTTAGAGATGTGGTCATAGCTTCTTCTGCATATGATTGTTTCACATTTAGTTGGATTAATCCTCAGATTCTACATTTGGAAGAATTTTTCTATTTTGTCGTATAGACTCTGTAAAAGTTCTTTTATGTTCTCAGGTGATTTTCTGTTTGTGTAGACAATGAGGTCGTCTGTAAAGACGATAGCTTTGGTTATTTCTGAGTTCATTCAATACTTTTTTTTTTGTCTCAATACTTTTTTTTTTCAGGAAACAAACAGAAATTACAAATTTCCGAAAAAAAATTTTTTTTTTTTCATTTTTTGAATATTTTTATTGCTTGAGAATTTATTTGTTAGCAAAAATAGAAAACGAATAATTTTGAAGAATGAAGGAAAACTAAGGTATTGTTTCTTAAAATATTGAATTCTCAGAATTTAGAAATGAATCTGAATGAATATGTACTCATGACATTTTATGTAGGGATAAAAGGCTATATTAATTTTTAATAACAGTTCGGCAGAGAACGGCTGTTATGAGCTAGGTTAAACTGATATTGTTTAGTACCTTCCTTGTCTCGACTTAAACGATCTTCATTACAGTTCGATGGTTTAAACGATCCAATATCCACTAACGTTTCAAAATTAGAAAAAATCTTAAAAAACCAAAAAAATTGGGAAAATTGCAGTTATAAACAATAGTGATGAGCAAAATCTGCGATTTTGCAAGACCAAGACCAAGACTGAATGAACAAAAACAAATAGTCGAGAAGTGAGTTTTCTGCGAAAAATCTTAAAAATATGGCGATTGGTGCATTGGATTTAGAATTTAATTCTGAGAAAAAGGTATTTTTTAATTTATCCGCCATTAAAAATTTCATTTGTTATAAACAAAAAACGAAGTGACAAAAGGAAATCTCCATTTTGTAGCTATAACTTCAAAAATATTGAATATATCTGAAATTTGAAAAAAGATCCTGAAAGAGGAGCAAATTTCAGTAAAAATTAGTCTCGACTCCCGGAGTTGTAGCTCCATCATTATTTATAATTTTAATTAAACGTTGAAAATTGGGCTCCGCGCGGCCGTTTCGGCGCCTGGGCGTCGCCGCCAAGCAAAGTATGCCACACAAATAATTTTTTTATAATATTCAATATTAATTTAAAAATCTGAATAAATTATAGTGTACGCCCAAGCGACACACTGGCAACTTAATAACATCATAAAGTTATCTAAAAAAAAGTTAGATGCCAACGATCTCCACTTTCAAAAAGTTGACAAATTTTCTACCGAAATGTATCCCTAATGTCCTTACAAGAAGTTATCTCAAAAAGTAACAAATTGATAACTCATTTACGTTAAAAAAATGTTAACTAAAAATGATAACAAAATATACTATTTAAGATAACAGAAGGGTCACTTTTAGAAAACAAAATGTTACCTTTTTGTTGCGAAAATGAATAAATTTTTGTTAATATTATAGTTGAAAAATGATAACTTTTAGTTATAGAAAAGTTACCCAATAGATGAGTATTAGTTAACGTTATTATTGAGGGATACTGTATATACGTTAAAAAATTTATGATATGGATATGAACAAATTGTACTGCAAAATTTGTATTAGACATAAATACTTATAGTATAGTTCATTTTTTTTATATTTCGTGTTACAAAATTTTTAACACAAAAATATAAAAAAATGAACTGTAAATATTTATATTTAATACAAATTCCACAGTACAATTTGTTCATACGCATACGATAAATTTTTCACCCGAATTCAATCAGTTATCATACTGTTACAAATGAATACTAATAATATTTTACAAGACATTTAAAATTTTTAATGAACATAAAAAGTACATAACTTTAATATTTACAAATCTGAATTTCTTTATCTTAATGTAATTACTATTAAATTTTTTAATTTAAAGCAAAAAAAAAACAAGCCTTAACTTTATAATTATTTTATATTTATTCTAAAAAAACTATGTTTTTTAAAACATTTCTTTGCTCACAACAATGTATTGCAATTTTTTCATTATAATTGTAAAAAGAAGAGTCTAAAATTATATTTTTTTTTCTTTCTTAAGACCACTATTCAAACATGTATTAAAATGATAAATACTCAAATCTTTGTCGACTCTTTAAGGGTGTTAGGGTTCTTTAATTTTCTGCTCAGCTTTTAAGCGATCACTTTCTCTCTGAAACCATTCTTTAATACGATCTTGTACTTTATCCTTAGTTTCTCCGTACTTTGCCACCAAAAACTCCGTTGAAATATGTTGAAATAATTAACGAAGTTGAACAATTAAAATCATTTTAACACTACGCAATACACTCTTAACAAGCAAAATTAAGTAAATAAAAATATCAATATATATTTATATTTACCTGCCTTTGTCGATGTTATTTTCACTTCCTCGCCAATTAATTAAAAAAATCTGCATCCAGACTTAGAAATGCACTGAATATACTGAGTATAATTGATGTAGTCGGGACATTAGCTAAACTTGTAAGAGACTGCACGCGTTCTCGTATACGATTTATGGAACAAAAGATTTTACTTGTTAACGAAAAGATAACTAAATGTTTACAAACAGAAAAATGTCAACAAATTGTTAGTTTAAAGTTGGCTCAATCTCATGACCAGTTGCGAATGTGTTGCGAAATTTAACGGACAAGTAATGGTTTACTGATTGAAAGTTAACCTTTAGTCATTTTTATGGATGCTCGAAAAGTTATCCAAAAAATGTTAACTATTTGTCATACTAATATTATCATCTTTTAGAGTGACATTATTTCTAACTTATTGCTGACTAATTAAGTATTCTATAGATTATTAACAATATCTTGCCATCTGTAAGATGACATAATAGAGTTAACTTTATAAGTTGTTCATTTTGTTTGTTTTATATTAACTTTTGTAATTTACTTAAAGTCAACTGAAATTGTTATCTTATAAATACCAAAAAGTTACTTGTGCCGCTTGGGCGTCATCTAGACACTTGAAGGAATATAGCCCCGCCAAAAAAAATTTTTAGCTTGATTTTTGTTTAAGTTATTTAATTGTTAATTAATTTTTCGTAGACTTAAGTTTTCAGAAAATCTCTTATAAAAGTTTAAAAAATATGTCTATAAATTTTTTTTCTCTTAGGAGCTCTTTTTATGTAAATAATGAACAAGGTTCCGTTGGAAAAGTTTTTTCAGTTGTTTATAATGATTTTTCAAAGTTATCAAAAATGGAATTATCGGGCTGATGTTATAAAAAAATTTTTTTTTCCTAAATTTTTAATTTTGGTTATTTTTGTGTTGTTATATCGCGTTTAGTAGCTTGGCTAAAAAATTTTTAATATCTTTTGCCTAGAGAGGGGGCTCGAAAAATAGTAGAAAGGGACGCATGGACACACTACTACAACTAAACCGTCTTTCACACTATTTTTGTCAGAAATGAGTGATAAAGAAAGAATGATATTAAAAAAGTCATGAGCAAGACCAAGACCAAGACCGAAACCGATGCCAAGCCTGCCTCTTGGTCTTGATCTTGCTTTGTTCATCACTAATTAAGAGAGATCAAAATCGAAGGTTAGCAAGTACTTATTTGTTCTTCTTAATCATAATATTCTTGGAAACTATATTCCGGCGACCTATGAGTTTTATTGATGATGGAAGATTGATGCTTAATAAAGAAGTAGACATGTGTGGTAAAGATAACTCTGAAATTGACTGAGATAAAGGTAATTCTTCTGAATTTTGAGAGTAGTTTTTAGTGAGATCGGGTACTTAATTTGTCTGTATGAAAATTAGTTTGAATTGATTTCAGAGGAGTTACAGGTTATACCTGAACAGCCTATCTCTGGGCTTGAGAGGTGCCAGAGTCAATCCAGGCCTATGTGATAGGTGCTGAATAGTCTATCTCTGGGCTTGAGATATGCTTTGTTGTTAGGAGCTTTAAATTGGTTGAGGAGACGTATCAGGACACAGGGGTCCTGACAAGAGTTATTTAAGATTTACTTTTCAGTAGTTAAATCATGCGTTATTTGTCAAGTGAAAAACGTGAGGACTATCGTAGAAGTCACAAGATGACAGAAGTAACTCGAAATTGTATTATGCACGACAGGTCGAGTAGACAACACAATTCTGATTAGTTGATGTTTTTTTATTGAGTGAAATTGGACAATTGCAGTATGTATACCTTTGAGTATTTTATCTAAAGATACTATACCAATAATTTTATCTAAAATACTATACCAATGACATGCAGAGTTGATTTGCTGTACACAATAGGTTGTTTTCTTGAGTTTCTAAAAGTTCCGATTGATAGGCACTTTTTTGGAGACTGGAGCTGCCTGGAGACATTGGACAGTATTTCTTGATGATTGCTATATCCTTTATCGAACGAGTGATTAAACACACTGTGTACACTAATGTGAATAAACCACCACAAACAAATTGACAACTTTGAATCGACTGGGAAGATAGGTAAAATTTTGGAGAGAGGTGTCGTGAAGTTACGTGTTCAAAAGATTGGTAAAGATTGAAGCTTACTGAAGTGTTTTTTGAACTTCAAAGTATAGAGACTCTTTTTATTTCTTAGCAAGTGGGAAGGATTCGGAAAAATATTCTTGAAAAAAACCGTTGATAAAAATATTACATACATAAAAAAAAAGGGAAAGTAACAACGGGAAATATTTAAGCCGAACCAGATGAGTGCCCGGGTTGATGAAAACAAGGGATGCATTTACGACCTTAACGGCCAGAAAGTCATAAAAGTAGTTACTTGAGAGTAGAGACCCGCATGCATGTATATAAATTTGTGGTTGAAACAAAATATTTTAGAGTTCGGCATTTTATTTTATTTTGTTACATACTGAATAATTTTTTAAAAACTGAGATAAATGACGTTAAAAAAAGTTAGTTATTTAATTAATAATTTATAAAGTAGCTAATAATTCAACAGGTCCACATAAATTTCTTCATTATGACTTAAGAAAGAAATTTCATTTGTTGGTAAATGGTTTTTGACCCATTGAACAGAAATGTAACATTTTATTTCTTCAATAACTTTGGCAAATACGGACTTAGATAAAGCACTCCGATATTGACTTTCTTCATCTTCGGTCAAAAAACTAATTAAAGCAGTGGGTTTTTTCGAAGAGTCATTAATTTTGGGATAATTCGCTTCATGTTGTCGACAGTATACAAATTTGAAGAAATCACGTATGAACTTTAC